GAAATCATGTACTACGACGCTTTCAAACAGCTCAAGCTCTGAGATACAGATTTGGCCCCGGCGACATCGCCATTGGTTGGTTTCAACTCACAACCGGAGTGGCCTTTGGGAAAGATTATCCTGTCGGTCAAAGCAGGATCCGTGGTCAAACAGGTGGAGTTCTGGGTGTTACAGGTGCCATCTACTGACAATTTGATCCTTGGAAGGGGGTGGCTTCACGCTATGCAAGCCGTGGCATCGACTTTTCACCAAGTAATGAGATTCCCCTCGACTATGGGGGCAATTGAGGAGATTTGGGGCGATCAGGTCATGTCAAAGCAGTGCTTCGTGGCAGTCAACGCGAGCCGGGCTGCCAAAGGATTTGTTCAAATGATTGAGGAACCGGAGGACCAGGGTGTCTTGGATGATGTGGGCACCAAGGCCGAGGACAAAGCTGTCGAGGAATTGGTGGAGGTGCGAATTGATACAGAACAGCCGGACAAGTTCTTCTTGCTCGGCTCAAGCCTTACAGCCACAGAACGGACCGAGATGGTTGAGTTTTTGATGGCCAACATCGAAGTTTTTGCATGGTCGCCTTACGACATGCCCGGCCTCAATCCAAGTTTTATTTGCCATCATCTCAATGTCTTCCCCGGAGCCAAGCCAGTCATCCAGCAAACAAGGAGATCGGCGCTGCATCACGCCGAGGTAGTTGCGGAGGAAGTCAAGAATTTGCTGGAGGCATGAGCAATTCAAGAAGTGCACTATCCTCGGTGGATCTCAAATACCGTGGTGGTACCGAAGAAGAATGGGAAGTGGCGGGTTTGCGTTGATTACAAGACCGTCAACCGGGCTTGTCCGAAAGATAGCTTTCCTTTGCCTAGAATTGACCAGCTTGTGGATTTGACGGCTGGACATAACAGGTTAAGTTTCTTAGATGCCTACTGCGGCTATCATCAGATTGACATGCATGGCCCCGACCGAGAAATCACCTCATTTATTACACCAAGGGGACTCTTCTGCTATCGAGTCATGCCTTTTGGTTTGAAGAACGCCATGGCAACTTTTCAGAGGATGGTGACCAAGATGTTTGCTCCTTTGCTGGGCCGGACAATGGAAGCTTACATTGATGATATGGTGGTTAAAAGCCGGCATTAGGCAGATCATTTGTCCGACTTGGCCAAGATGTTCGCCATTCTCAAAAAGCACATGCTACGCCTGAATGCGTCTAAGTGTGCCTTTGACGTGGGATCCGGGAAATTTTTGGGATTCCTAGTCACGAACCGAGGTATCGAAGCAGACCCTACACAAATCCAAGCCGTGCAAGATTTAAAACAGCCTAGCTCGGCGAAAGACGTGCAACATCTGGCTGGAATGGCCGTCGCGCTTAATCGATTTATAAGCCGGTCATCAGATCGCTGCCGCCCTTTCTTTCAGTCCTTAAAATCAAAGTTCTCCTGGGATAAAGAGTGTGACCGAGCTTTGGCCCAGCTCAAGGAGTATCTGTCTTCAGCGCCACTGTTGGTCACACCGGAGCCTGGAGAAGAACTCTATCTTTATTTGGCCGTATCGCAGCATGCAGTCGGTGCGGTGCTTGTCCGGGCTGAAGGAATCAAGCACCTCCCCATCTTTTATGTCAGCAAAACTTTGCTACCGGCAGAGTCGAGATACTTGCCATTGGAGGAGCTTGCTTTGCCATTAATGATGGCTTCAAGAAAGTTGGCGCACTATTTCCATGCACATACCGTCATCGTCTTGACCGAGTTCCCCCTCAAAGCTTTATTTGAGCGGGCAGACTTCTCCGGTTGGATTCTTAAGTGGGCGATCAAGTTAGGACAGTTTGATGTGAAGTTCCAGCCGCGCACTGCCATCAAAGCCCAGAGTTTGGCCGACTTCGTCGCCGAATTCTCACCTGGAACTCATCCGGTATGCCCGGTCGATATTACCGCGGCAGGATATGAGGTGCACGCAAGACCATCCGAGATACAACCAGTTGGTGGAGGTAGCGACGCGGAGTTTGCGCGCACCACTGAAGCACCCTCAGTTTGTACGATTTTATCACCCGGTAATGCAATGACGGAGTTGAGTATCACCGACCAACCTGCTCTGTCCGGTCCCGCATGACCATGGGGGGAAGAAATGGAACCACACAGCTCAGAACCTGCGGCCGGCATAATACCGCAACCTGGTGATTCGCCTACGGACTTGAGCATTGCAGATCAACTTGCTGAGTCTGGTACCGAATCATCAAGGGTGACTGAATTGGAACCAATCAACACAGAACTTGAAACTGAACAGCCGAGCAGTCGTGACCCCATCAACCTTCAAGCCTCTCAGGACCCCTCAGAATGCTGGAAGCTCTTCGTGGGGGAGATGTGGAAACTTTTTGTTGATGGAGCCTCGAACCGTCACGACGCCGGGCTAGGTATAGTTTTGATATCACCAGACGGGTTGACAATTGAACACTCTATCACCCTTGGCTTCCCAGCATCCAACAATGAGGCTGAGTACGAGGCGCTTTTGGCCGGTCTCAAGAGCGCGCTTCAGATGCAGGCATCAGAGTTAATGGTTTACAGTGATTCCCAGCTTGTGGTTAACCAAGTTTCTCGGGTCTACCAGGCAAAGGATGATAGAATGATAAAGTACCAAGCTTTGGTCAGGAACCACATCAAGCGATTCCAGGCAATCAGGGTCCAACAGATCGGCCGAGAAGAAAATGACCGGGCAGATGAGCTGGCCGGCCTAGCCTCTATGGTCGACCGCTCATTTCCCAACCCTCTTTTGATTGAATTCCTACCGAGACCTAGTATCGAAGAAACCGGGCAGACGGAAGTATTCTGCGCCGCGCTAGGTCCTTCCTGGATGGACCCTATAGCCCTGTTTCTCAAAGATCGGATTCTGCCAGCCGACAAGAAAGAAGCGCACAAAGTCCAGGTGAAGTCAGAACGGTTTTGGCTCTCTCTATCTGGAGCGTTGTATAAAAAGTCCTTCACCGGTCCTTATCTGAAGTGCGTGCACCCGAGTAGCGTGGAGGCCTTCTTGTACGAAATTCAAGAAGGCATCTGTGGCAGTCACATAAAGGGCAGGTCCTTGGCCTACCGCGCTATTTCGCAAGGCTATTGGTGGCCGTGCATGCAAGCCGACGCACAGAAATATGTTCGCAAGTGCGAGAAGTGCCAGAAGTTCGCACACCAAATCCATCAGCCGGCCAGAGAACTTCCCCTAACCAGCCCTTGGCATTTTGCAATGTGGAGATTAGACATAGTGGGGCCGCTCCCAACAGCACCAGGCAACCGGAAGTTCTTCATCGCGGCAACAGACTACTTCACCAAGTGGGTTGAAGTCGAACCTTTGGCAACAATCAAGGAGAAAGACGTGAAGCGGTTTGTCTGGCAGAATATGGTAACACGGTTCGGCGTCCCTAGAACTTTGATCTCTGATAACGGCACCCAGTTTGACGGTCGCCTATTCAGAGGATTTTGTGAAGATTTGAAGATTGAATTCTACAACTCCACTCCGGCTTACCCACAGTCCAACGGTCAAGCCGAGGCGTCAAACAAGACTACTCTTGACGGACTGAAAAAGAGGCTTGAGAAGGCCAAGGGAAAGTGGGCCGAGGAACTTCCTAGCGTCCTCTGGGCATACCGTACAACCCCTCGGAGGTCGACCGGGGAAACTCCATTTGCTTTGGCTTATGGCATGGAGGCGGTCATTCCATTGGAAGTTGGTATGCCCACTCTCAAAAGTGAAATTTTTGAGCCCGAGCTGAACGTCGAGGCCATTGCTCTGGAATTGGATCTGGTGGAAGAGCGCCAGGAAAAGGCTCTTATCCATGTGGCCACCTACCAGCAAGAGCTCTCCAGGAAGTACAACAAGACGGTGCACCCCAGACCGTTTAGGGTGGGTGATTGGGTCTTGAGGAAAGTTATGAGCAACACCCTGGTGCTAGGTGAAGGCAAACTAGGGGCAAATTGGGAAGGACCTTACAAGATAACCGATCTGGCGGGAAAGGGGGCATACCACTTGGAGGATCTCGATGGTAGAGGAATACCCCAGCCATGGAATGCGACCAACCTCAAACTGTACTATTTCTAGCTTTTGTTTTCTTTTTTGTGCAAAGGAATTTTTTGCCTTACACTTCAAAATGTAATTCTTTTTGTCAATATATAGAAGTGTCTTCTTTGCCTTAGCATTTTGATTGATTGCTTTGAATACTTGAGATTCTCAACCAAGATGATTTACTCCGGTTGAAAGAGTTGATGTTTTGTTCAACTTAAGTATTCAAAACCGAGATGATTTACTTCGGTTGAAAGAGTTGATGTTTTGTTCAACTTCAGTATTCTCAACCGAGATAAGTTACTCCGGTTGAAGGAGTTGGTGGTTTGTTCAACTCAGAGATTCCAACCGAGATGAGTTACTCCGGTTGAAGGAGTTGGTGGTTTGTTCAACTCAGAGATTCCAACCGAGATGAGTTAGTCCGGTTGAAGGAGTTGGTGGTTTGTTCGACTCAGGGATTCCAACCGAGATGAGTTACTCCGGTTGAAGGAGTTGGTGGTTTGTTCAACTCAAAGATTCCAACCGAGATGAGTTAGTCCGGTTGAAGGAGTTGGTGGTTTGTTCGACTCAGAGATTCCAACCGAGATGAGTTAGTCCGGTTGAAGGAGTTGGTGGTTTGTTCGACTCAGGGATTCCAACCGAGATGAGTTACTCTGGTTGAAGGAGTTGGTGGTTTGTTCAACTCAAAGATTCCAACCGAGATGAGTTACTCCGGTTGAAGGAGTTGGTGGTTTGTTCGACTCAAAGATTCCAACCGAGATGAGTTACTCCGGTTGAAGGAGTTGGTGGTTTGTTCGACTCAGAGATTCCAACCGAGATGCCCTACTCCGGTTGAGAGAGAGGATGCTTTGTTCAGTTCTATCAGAATTAATGCCGAGATGGTGTATTCCGGTTATACAAGATGTTTTGTTCAGTTCATGCATGCTCAACCATGATGGTTTAGTCCGGTTGAAAGAATTAGTGATTTGTTCAACTTTGTTGTTCCCACCGAGATGTTTATTCCGGTTGAAGAAGTTAATCAATTTTACTAAATTTACCGAGATGTTAACTCCGGTCAAGCTAGTTGGTGATTTGTGCAACTTCGTGATTTAAACTGAGATGTTTTGCTGAAGATAGAGTTCGAGAAAACCGTGCAAACACTTATGCAATTAAAGCTTTTCATTGATAGAAAGTTAATACAAAAGGAGGGGCAGAAAGCCCGGTTACATGTGCAAAGCAATAGAAAAAAGGAAAAACTAAGCTAAGGGGGAGAGATTGGTGAATTCATCATCCGGAGTTGTCTCCAAGTTCACTGCTGGAGATCGGTCTTCTACACCGGGCTCAGTTCGGCCGGGTTGCTCCTGTCCTGGTTGCTCCTCTCCGTCAGTGTCTTCCCCGGCTTCTTCCTCTTCAAGCCCTTCCTCGGCCTCAGCCTGCAATGCATTGAAGACGTCATTGGCATATGGCACAAGGTAGGCCGGCAAGGAAGCAAGCGGCGGGGTGGCAAAGACGTCAGTATCAGGACCCTGACTGAGATGCTCGCAGGCAGACTTCCAACCCGCTTTGAAGTAGATGTCTTGGGTAGCAAAGGCCTGCTTCTTGTAGCTTCCCTCAGCTTCTAGGAAGCCGGCGTTGTTTTCATCTCGGCAGTCCTTTTTCCTTGACTTTTTCAGAGCGTCCAGCTCGGCCTGGAGCTCATCGCGCTTCTTCTCGGCCTCATCAAGCTGACCGTGCAACCTGTTGTTGTCATCATTGGCGATTTGGAGAGATGCTTTTGCCCGGCCAAGCTCGGCTTGGAGGCTTTGGACTTAGCTGTCAGTGTCGACTGCCTTTTGCCGAAGTCGGTGGATGCGCTCCATGGCTAAGTGTTGTTTTTGGATGGCCTGCAAAAAGGAAACCTGATCAGAGAAGAAGAAGAAACCGTGCAAACACTAGTGAAAATTGGAGTAGAAAGTTGAGACTTTTACCCTGGTTATAGACTTCACGGCTGATTTCACCAGCCGGGTGTCAGGAACGTGGTCGCTGCCAACCACGTCGCTCGGCAGAAGAAGGGCTTTGGAGAGATCAAAGGCAAGAAGGTGTTCTTTGTCTCCCTTGACAGAGGCCGTTGTCGGGATCTCCTTTCCCCGATGCTTGAGCTGCGGTCTCCATGCCGGCGTTGGGTCAGCTGTGACAGTAGGTTGCTCGGTGGACAGTTCGGTAATCAGCTCGGCAGACGAGTCCGTGCGAGCTCTTTTGCCAGCCCGGCGTGTTGTTTGGCTTGACTCCCCGGCAGCTTGAGAAGCTAGGGCGACCACGGCACCCCTTGACTGACCGGCGGCTGGAGAGTGGGTGACGACGCTCGGTATCTCGGTAGACGTTGCGGTGAGCAGGTATTTGATTCGGCTTCGTTTGGCCATGTCTTGCTCTTCTGTCAACCGGATTAGTGGAACGTCTGGCAAAGTTGGATCTGGAGGAGGTGATGGAGCACGGAGAAAGTCTGTAACTTTACTCCAGCGGGGAGCAGAGTATCTGTAGGTTGGAGTGTAACCGAGCAGCTCGTTGTAATCTCAGTGGCGATGGCGGAGCACGGTCCGAATTGCCTCTACGTTGGGAAATTGGTAGTTAGCTTGCAAGGCTTGGATTGCTGCAAAAGAAACAAGAAAACTGGTTAATTACAGAATAAAGAAGGTAGGCTGACCGAGCAAGTTTGAGCGGCTTACATGAGGAACCGAAGTTCTTGCTTATAAACCAGCCCGGTACCTCGGCTGTTTCGTAATTGCCCGACACCCAGAAAAAATCGTCGTCGTGCAAGTCTTTATCCGGGGTGCCGGTTACAATTTTCTCCTTGCCCGGTCTGATTTTCAAATAATAGGCTATGTCGTCACCGGTGTGACCCATCGTGTATTGCCTTAATATCTCGGCTAGACCTAAGTTGGTGCCTAGCCGGTTGTTCAGTTCATGGACGTCGTTGATAATTCGGTAAGTGTTGGTGGACACTTGTGTGGGTGCCAGCCCGGTGCGGCGGAGGAACTCGGTGATAAGTGGGTTGAGTGGGAAGCAAAGGCCTCCTTCGACGATGGACAGCACGGTGAAGGGGCATTGTTCTGTTCTGCCCCAAGGCGTGGTCTCTTCTTCTGCGAGCTCAAGGTGGACGTCGGCCGGGATGCCGTACTCCTCCCTGAACGCAGCTAGCGCAACTGGAGTATCCACGAGGAAGCGGAATTTCCCCATTTATGACCGGCTAAATTAGCTCAGCTGTGGTTTGGCACTGTCAGGTGATTTGTGGTTGCTCGGTCTTTAGGAGCCTCAGGAATGGTCAGTGGTCCCCTTGGACTCTGCAGGAAAAGGAGGGCAAGTGTAAGAGGGAGCGCGGTCGCGCAAAGCGAGCTTGACTTTAGCTCGGTCGTCTAGAGTGCCAAACCACCTCGGTCGTAGAGGCTAACCAAGGAGCTCGGCCGCCCAAGCAGACTAGATTTTAGCCCGGTTGAGCGGCCAAGACCTTTGTTATCCCGGTTCTTGCTATGGTTAAGTCTAACAAGTTATTTGCTCGGTCGAGATGGTTTTTTGGATCAAACGAAGACCTAGAGCCCGGTCCGCCCCAATTCTTCGAAGTTCATCAGCGAAAATGAAGAACACCATGAACAGTGGGAGGTTTGGGACGATTTCTATGGCCTATGTCCTAAAAACTACGTTTTATTGCCCTATTGTGTGAAATATCAAGGAAAATAACAATAACAAGGGTTGGAGGGCTTACCAATATGGAGCAGTGGCCGCTTCCTCTTCGAGCGCGAGTTCAGGAATGGCAGAGGAGAGGCAAGAGCTCTGGGTTGCTTGGAATGGCAGTGAGTCAGTAAGAGCTCAAGGAAGATGAAGGGGGGGATGTTTATAGAGGATACGAGACCGCCCAAATTCAAATTCTGGCAAGACGGCGGGTTGGCTACTCGAGAACCAACGGCAGCCCGCCACGTGTCCCCATTTATGACGACGTCAGAACTGAAGAGACAGGTTGAAGAGTTGAGTCAACCGGGCTACTTTTGAAGAAGAGGACGTCAACCGAGGAGTATAACCAGGCAAGTTTGCAGACAGGAACGTCAACTAGCCTGGTCGCCATTTCGCATTCTGAGGACCGAGGAAGTGTTATCCCGGTCGAAATAAGTAATCCCAGTCACGCTTTTGTGGACGAAATTAAGGGGCAATTGAGAGGGAGATTTATGATCTGAGATTGGGCCGTGACGTTAGCCGGGCAGATTTGGGCCGAGGTATTGGGCTCCAAGATCAGGCCGTGATATTGCTCGGTAATGGCAAAGCCCACGTGGAACCGAGTTATCTGATCTCGGTTCCGCGAAGGCCGGACAGGTGGAGGAACAGCCTAGATGAGGCTCTCCGGCTCACGCGTTGCAAGGTTGTAATGCACGCACCTTGACTCGGTAGGAAGGCCCGTGCTTGGAGCTCTGGCCGAGAAGGTCTTTGGCTGACCGGCATCACTAATCTCCAGCTCAGCTTCGCCGGAATACAGTTGAGCACGGCTGGAATTAAGCCCTGTAGCAAGCCTCACCTTACTCTTGTCATACTTGCATACATTCATGCATGATCTTGTCTTGTTATGTAGTTTTGCAAGTTTTGCCTTGTCTTGTTTTGTTTAAGTATTGCTTGCATGATTTTGTTCCTTGCTTGGTGTGTAGCCGCGGTCATCTGGAGCTTAGTTCGCCTCTGAACCTTTGTACTTAGAACTGTTTTGGAACCACTTGGTTGACCCCCATCTTCACCTCGGGCATGTTTGCCGAGATGTTTTGCACTTAGTGATCCTTGTCCTTGGGCAGGTGTGGCACACCCCGGCCAAGGTGTGGCACAGCTTAGTCAAGTGTCGTCCTCCCTTGCCGATGTCCTTGTTACCCTGTTGCCGAAGCTTTGACTTCAGCCGATGTCATTACTTGCCGATGTGTCTTGCCTTAGCTTGCTGCATACGCTTTGTCATAGACTTGTCTAATCAATCAATCACCTTTTGAGTTGAACCAACTCGATAGTGCCACGTGTCTGAGCTGATTGTTAAGACAGCCGGCAAACCTAGAAACAAATCATTTTTGTCTCAAATCTTTGCCTTTAGAGAGAGAAACTCTAGAGAAGGAAGGAGAAGTTCTTGAGTGAGAATAGATCTTCCAAGCTTGATCTTCGAGGGTTGAACCGTTGGATTCGAGTTTTGAGGTTAGAATCTTAACCTACTCTTGTTGTTCTTTTGAATCATCTAGCTGCATTGCATGATCGAATTTGTTTTGCATGTCATGCATCGATTTGAAGTTGGTTTCGGAAAAGAAAGAAATTATTCACTTGTTCTTGAAGAAAGTCTCGTTTTGATCCGAAAGTTTGGAGCAAAAACCATGTTTTTGCGTTTGTTCTTGCATGACCTTCTTGTATGGGTACCCAGGTCCATGTTTTGAACTTATGGCATGAAATCTCTGGTTTTTGTAACAAGTTATGATCTGCATTCATCTTCCTCATGATCTTGTTCTTCATGTTCTTCAAAGGGAAACCCAGGTTTTCCCGACTTTGTTTTTGAATAAGGCCATCAGGACCACACCTCGGCAAGGAGGCGTAGGACCTCGGCAAAGACTTGGTTGGTACCCAGTGTGTTTTCATGAGACGGGAGCAGTGTTTAAACTCCCAGCATGTTTTGCTTTGTTATTGACTTGGATCTGGTGAGAATGCCGGGATCATTTGCATGTATATAAAGCTTGTCTTGAGAATGTGATTGCCATGTGATTGTAGGTCCTTGATCTTTGCTTTGAGCCTACACCCAAGGAGAACTATGTGAGTGGTATTTTTAATAAAGCTATGTTATACTACTTTGATAAAACTTGCTTTGCTTCGTTTTGACGAAAGTATTTGTTAAGCATGAATGAATAGCTCTGTTTTGATGTATCAAGTAAAAGCTTTGTTTTGATGTCATTCTTGAAAAGTCCCTTATACTGGAGGACTCTAAACTTTTGCAGTACCAAGTATAAAAGTCCCTTGTGCTGGAGGACTATAAACTTTCGCAGCACTAAGTATAAACCGATTACGGATCGTGCAGTCCTTGTTTTGCCACTGACGGTTTACCGCGTGGACTTGTTTGTTCGGAAAGCTTGATCTGGTACATAAGAACTGTTTTGGAACCCCTTGGTCGACCCCTATCTTCACCCCGGGTATGTTTGCCGAGATGTTTTGCACTTGTGATCCTTGTCCCTGGGCAGGTATGGCCTAGACCGAGGTGTGGCACACCCCGGCCAAGGTGTGGCACAGCTTAGTCAAGCGTCGTCCTCCCTAAGATAGGATAAGAATGGTAGAATGAAGATTTTTTTTTTTTTTTAACAATCCGTCAAAGCTGATACTCTTTCGACAATAATCCAAGCCAAATGTAAGATTTCTCACAAAAAGCTACCACAACTGAAGGAATCTATAGTCGTCAGAAGGTTCGCTGAGTGAGTAAATAATATATATTATATTTAATGAATAAAGTTTTTATATAATAGAATGCTTATATATATAGATTGAGAAAAAGTATCTTATTAGAAACCTAACTATGAGAGAGAGTATTCAATAAGAAACTTGACTATGGCTATTCCCAAATATATCTAGACACAAAAAAAGGAACTCATATCCTATCGCGCTTCCATTATAGAAATGGTCAAAGTATTCAGTGAACAATCTTTCGATGTGCCCTCATTTGAAGTCATCGTGAATAATCAAGCAATGTATTCACTGTGTGTGTATATATAGATACTAGGATTCTATGCACACACAAAAAATGTATAACAATCTTGCATGTGTGATTTAAGGATAGTTCAAACCCCAAATGACAATCAATTAGATGTTTAAATTACAAGATTATTACGCTAAAAATTATTACAGAGAATGATAAGATTGGTGGTTGGCATTTGAAGGGGTAAGATGAAAATAGCAAAGATACACAGAAGATGAGATTGAGAGATTACAAATATGACAGTTGAAATGTTTGCATAGAATAAGGCAAAGGCTGAGGTGAGAGATGGACACATAGATGGACATGAGTGATGACCCATCACTACTGATTGTCCTATATATAATGCAAAGGACTCCCAGATTGGGGACACACTAATAGACCTTCTTGAGGCTCCTTTGGCTTTACCATTCTATGTCAATAACTCAAATTTTTTTTAATGTTTTTTTAATTTCCCAACAGTGGCTTCAAGACCCATCGTTCAATACCAAAATAGAGGTATTTTACATTCTCTTGAATTTCTCTTTCTCTGCTCTTGATCGCTGTTGTTGATTGATTATGTTTGGATTTGTTGTTTGAATTCTGAAGGATTTGTTTGGATTTGTTGGTTGATAATATTTTGTATTACTTTTAAGATTTCATGTACAGCACACAGTGCTTCCCTTTTGCAATAGTCAACCTTCTATTTAAGATGTAACTTTATAGAGATGTGTCCAATTTTGGAGTTAATAATAATGTATTTTGGAGTTGAACCCATCTCAATCTCAATTAAACCGTGGACGTTTTATTTAAATTTGTAAAAAATTTGCCAAAAATTTACCAAATAGGTTTTTGTTTTCAAGCTTCTTTTTTTCTCCTTCCTTGAAAGTTCAAACATTGAGTTCAAACATTTGAGGATGTGCTTTGATTGTGCTTTTATTTACATCGTGCCTTCAGGTACGGGTATACGCTAGTAGATATATATAACAAAAGAACTTTAAAATAAGATCAGAAGTGCAATATAAAAAGGGTAAATTATGTTGACACCCTCTGAGATTTATATTTATTACAATTCCCCCCTCACCTTTTGAAAATTGCATCTCCCTCCCTGAGATTTAAAATTTCATTACAGATTGCTCCCTCCAGCAATTCAATTTTTTTAAATACCAATTTTGCCCTCATTGGGTAAATTAGATTGACACCCCTCACATTTTAAAAATTACAATTCCCTCCCCCCAAGGTTTAAAATAACATTACCAATTACTCTCTCGGTTAGTATTAGTTGAAAAAAAAAATTAATTGAAAAAAAATTGTTAGTCAAATTTTTAAATTTCTATTTAAAAACCAATGTGAGTTTTGAATAATATATGATAAAAAACAAATTTAAATACATAAAATTCGATCATAATTAGATATAACTTTTTTACATGAGATATGAGCTACATGTATAGATTCCATTTTATATAATAAATTGTGTTTAATTCTATAATTATATTATACAAAAATATTATATGGTAAATTTTGAATATAATAATGCCTAGCCTTGTTTGCAGTCATTAATTGATGGGAATAGAATTGCCAATGTGTAACAGCAGGATCACCTTAGTTACAGCCAACGATGCATTGGCCATGTAATTAAAAGCTGAATAATACCATAATGATCATAATTTTTTGGGTTAATTGCACTTTAACCCCACCAATTAATTCTGAATATTATCTTATCTGATTAACTTCAAAACATTATATTTTGCCCCCTCAATTATCAAAATTACTTCACTTTCATCCTATATAGGATGAGAGCTTTTGTACAAATTTTAATAGTTGAGGGTTTTTATGTATGATTTTAAAATATAAGAAATTACAATAATATTCAAATGATAGTAAATAAGTAAACTCCAAAACTTCTAAATTAAACAAAAACAACATACAATAAAAGAAAACATACCTAATTGGTTTAGAAGAAAACATCCAAAACTAAATGAAGCAACATTTTCTAAAATGAAATTTTTGAATAATTTTTCCAAATAAGAATATCTAAAAAAATAAAAAATTAATTTTTAGAAAATTGAATTCCACTATTTATTGGAAACACGGCGCATAACCATGTATGCATTCTCTCTTCGTTCACAGAGCACTATGTCTAATTATTGCGTGTCCTATAAGCCAGTCAAACTCGTTTTAGTCCCTAAGCCCACCCCAACTCTCTCTCTCTCAAACGAAAAAACCCCACCACCCCAATGTATTAAAATTTGTCAACATTTTAATTTTATTTTTTGTTTTTTTTTTTCCTCCTACCACTCGACATGTGTTTGTGGAGATTGTGGTTGTTAGGGTCATTTATCATTTCTGCTGTCCAAGTCATTTATCATTGTTACGGTTTGAAAAGAGTAATATTGGTATGAGTTCAAGAGCAGAAATGATAAATGAACCCCACAACCACAATCTCCACAAACACATGTCGAGTGGTAGAAGAGAAACAAAACAAAAAATAAAAAGTAAAAGATTGACAAATTCCAATACATTGGTGGGGTTTTTCCATTTGAGAGAGTTTGGGTGAGCTTAGAAACTGAAACGAGTTTTACTGACTTGTAAGACACAATAATTAGACAAAGTGCTCTGTAAATGAGAGAATGCATACATAGTTATGCGTCGTACTTCCAATAAATAGTGGAATTCAATTTTTTAAAAATTATTTTTTATTTTTTATATATTCTTATTTGGAAAAATTATTCAAAAATTCTATTTTAAAAAATATTGCTTCATTTAGTTTTGAATGTTTCCTTCTAGACCAATTAGGTATATTTTCTTTTATGGTATGTTATTTTAATTTAATTTAGAAATTTTGGAGCTTACTTATATACTATCATTTGAATAGTATTGTAACTTTTTATATTTTAAAATCATACATTATGACCCTCAACTATTAAAATTTATACAAAAACTCTCATCCTATATAGGATGAAAGTGAAGTAATTTTGAAAATTGAGAGGGCAAACTATAATGTTTTGAAGTTGATTAGATAAGATAATATTCAAAATTAAGTTTTCATTCCTTACTCCATACCCTACTCCCACCCACCACGCATCACCGCCATCAGCCACCACTGTTGGCAACTGCCTCAGACAACCACCACAGGCCACCCTTTGATTGGTCGCTTAGACATTGGAGAATAGATAACAGACATAATAAAATCACATATTTAATTTGGCGCAGTTTCTAAAACAGGGAAAACAATTAGCACAGTTATGCATCATCCAAATCATAGAATCGAAATAATTAAGTCCAATTCCAGTTTTGCAATACTTCATTTTCTTAATCTAGTTTCTAAACAAGAAACAAATCTATATTACATTTTAAAGCAAGATGAGAAATTCAATTATACATAATAATGATAACACATAAGTCATGATTTTACTTTGGTTTTCAAAGTCATTTTGCTCAAAAGAAGCATAGTAGTAATCACAGACAACTCATATGTCCAGACATAATTTTAGCAACTTCATCATAGCTGCAACCATATTAAGAAGTATACTAAAAAAAAACTTAAGCTTAAAGTCAAACGATGCAAGGATACTATAATAGCAATATGGTATATCACAAAATCAATATCAAACACAAACAAAAAGTGTTCAAAACAATGTGGTAGGTTAAACCTACGAACTTGCACCTAAAATACAGCATAGTCCAGGATCTCAGAGGCATTCCAAAAGTGGAAACTTGCAGACATTCAACACGGCATCAGGTTCTGACCGCCCGTCTGCTTTTTCTCATCATTGAATAAATTAAAGAAAAAAATTATTTTAGAAATATAAAAAAATTTCATCTTTTGATTATTGCGTGATATTTTATTACATTTATAAGAATAATACTACCACTACTAAAAAAAATTACTTTTTACGACTGCTACAAGCCGTCACAAATAATAAAAAGACAGTTGCAAAAGGCCTTTTGCGACAGCTCATGAGACGACAAATGGGAGTCGCGAATGTGAGGGTGGCAAATACTTTTTGCGACCGCAAAATAACAGTCACAAACTATTTGCGACCACCTAATCTACTTATGACGACTAATGTTTTGCCGTCGCAAAAAAAATAAAAAAAAATACCTATAATGTATTAGCGACCACCTTGTTACCGTCGAAAAAAAAAATGCCTAAAATGTTTTAGCAACCTATATTCTCATAAATAGGTATATATATATATATTCAAATATTATATAAAATAAATGTAAAGTGATATTTGCAAAATTCTAATACTCACGTATTATTTTCCATCACGTTCCTCAACAAAAATATCTTTCTTCAAAGAAAAAAAACAAATGTGCATACAAAATATAAACTTTTATATATGCAAAACAAATATCCATCAACCATCCTTTATACTGTGTTTGATTAAGAGATTTGAGGAGAGATTTGAAAAGAAAAATGGAAAAGATATGTGAAATGTGAATAAAACATATCTATATTTCACTTAGTTTCACGTACCTTTTCTCTTTCCTTTTCTAAATCCCTCCTCAAATCCCCCAACCAAACACACTATAAAAGTATTTATACAAAATACTAATATATTCAAGTACTCATAAAAAAATAAATAATTCTCAATTTAGCTCTCAATATCACCCATTCAATCGTATCAACTACTCGCTCAACACTACCGGCAAAAATATACATCAATATATTAGTTAACTAACTTGGATGCCAAAATAAAAATGGATACAAAGAGCACATTAATTGACAAAATAATCAACTCTAAGAATATTGAAAAATTACTTGAACTTGATTATTTTCTAATTCAGCTGGACAAGTCAGTGATGCTAATTGCGTAAAGAACACCCAGCAACAGAAATTTTAAGAATTTGAGTCAGGAATTTTTCTAAGAGTAAGCAAATGTGCTACAGCACCAGTTTAAGTACAATTGAATTCATAACACAAAACTCATAAATTAAATGCACAACAGATAAATGATCATATAGACACATAAAATATTGTTAATTTATGTTTTGTCAGATAACTAACTCTTTGTAAAGATTCTCTATCTAATACTTGTTATGAGCTGTGTGACTAAGGAGGAACCTCATGCAATCACAATAAGAGTTAGCAGGGTAAAAGTCCCACTGCTCTGAAGACTTGTGTCTGAGATATTAGGGACATTTTAAATGGAGGGTGTGTTTTGGAGAGTTTTCTCATAGAGATAACTGCAACAGTGTGTTTCATCCCATCTCACTAGGGAGCATTCTTCCTTAATTGGGCTGCCAAAGGAGTCCTGTATTTGGACATATTAGGAATAAAATTGGCCATGTAATTTACAATACCAAGAAATTGTTGGACCTGCTTGTATGCAAGATGTTCATTAAGGAAATTTTGTGAGTCTAACCATCACATCATACCATATAGAAGCAAAAACTAGATGGTAACACAAAAGTACCTTTGACTGCTTCATAAACTCATTCATGACCCTTTTGTAACAACCCTCACAAACAGCTGGTGGAACTTCTACACTCAATCTAATCTAAAAAAAAAAAAAAAAAAAGACATACTCAATTACAAATACATATAAAGCAGTACTTATACAAATATACTCTGATTAACAAGGGTACGCTGGCCAATAAATGTAGAAGGAAAAAAAATAGTTGAGAAATGCAGTATAGGATACTCAGAATCTCATGAACATGACAATAAAATAGTACACTTTGAAATTGGGCAAGAAAGTAAAAACACAATAAAATTAGCTCCTAACAGCTTATTGTGTTCTGGATGATGATATCTGCTCTTTTTCATATCACTTGTATTGTGTTAAAAAATTCACGAGTTTAAAGTAAAGAACAAAGGAAATGCCAGATTATCTACGTAAACTCATCCAGATAAGAAATAGGAGAGCAGATATCATCATTGAGTGCTTCAGAGTTCGCTGGTTTTAAAAAAACAGAAATTCATACAAATAGTGAATTGTCTACATACCTTCCGGAGACAAATGCGAAAGAACCCTCAATGGAGCCTGAAGAAGATGGCAAAGGTGTGCAACTTTCGTAGACAAATTCTTTCTCGTCCGGAAGTAAGAGAGGAGACTGCAAAGAAGCCAAAAGGGAAAGCATTATTACCAAAATGAACGAAAAGAGGACCAAGCCATCCATCCAATAAGTTGTAATATTAATGAAAGAAAATTAGAAAGCCCTTCTAACGGCTGAGAAAAAAAGGAAGCTTCTGATTTTGAGCACTTTGAGAAACCAATCTAGAGTGGTCAAAGAGGTAATTTTCTTCACTATAGTCACCAGATTTCCCTACTACGAGGTTATCAAGGTTAGCTTCTTTCCCACAATTTCCAATGGGTGTTGGCTACTGGTCTGTGGTGTAGAGTATACTACCCCATTTTGTGCTCTCTTTTGGAGTACTTCCAAAATTTCTAGGGTGTACAAGTAGCCCTGTTAGGAGTACTGGCCCATTTTGGTTATGAGCAAAATAGAGAATAAATAGATTTCATTTTCATTTTGAAACATTGTTCAAACCTATTGCTGAGTCCACTAATCCTATTAGCTATATGGTATAGCATTATCTAAAAATCTAAAGACCACAACAAATTTCAATATTTGAACCTGCACCGTCGGTTCACTATATAGCCAAACAAGTGAGCTATTTTCTTTTAATCTTAGGGGGACATAAGTGTAATTAACTCTATTATTTTCAAAAACATAAATTGGTGAAAAAATAATTCTAGCAATTGTCTAAGCTATATTGGTACGAAATAATGTTTACTTAAAATTTGCAAAGCTATATTGTGTTTGGTGAAGGTTTTACCCAAACAATAATACTACCGAAACCATTCAAATGTACATTGTTTTACTCAAACAAATATACATTTGAAGGTTTTCAAAATGTATTCTTTAATGTTAGTTTGGCCATTGGAGTGGTTCATATCATCAAATGAAAGCATCATACAAAACCTATTACTTTGAAGTGGTACAATAATGAAGTTGAAAACAAAACCTAAAGAGAAAATAGGAGAAAACAGAAAATGAAAAAATGAAAAGCATCTCAGAGTCAACATTCCCCATAGTTTTCTTCACTAGCAATCAAAGTGCAAGGATAACAAAAGGTTCCTCATCACTGATGCTCACATAAATCCATAGCTTCCATAAAAAGAACACATAAAAACTAATGAACCAAAAACAAGTGGTTAACGGATCTCAGAATAATATGAATATCTTCAATCCCTTTAAAGGGAATTACAGATAGATAACGCAGTTTTTATCAATCATCATTGATCCTATCCAAAAAACCCAATTGAGCAAAACAAAAAAATTTAGTACTACAAAAAAAAAAAAAAACAGAGCAGCCAAGCCAGACAGAGAAAGAGTTATATCCATAGATTTCTGAAGCACAAATCGAAGCAAAACAACTAACAAAGTAACAAACAGATCAAGCATAAAATAAGCTGCTAAAGCATAAAGATGGAAATTTTTCACACAATACGAGTGATAGAATTTTCTAAAAATCAAGAATCAAACACTTTAAACTCGTTATAAGGACTTTCATATTCCCCAATATGAACCTATGTTAACAAGACATTAATTGGGTATAGGTACGGGATGTATGGAACACATGAATTTTGCAGTAGTTTTTTTGTTTTTTGTCTCGACGGAACAACAAAGCCATTTTTTATTGGATTTTTTTTTCTTTTCTGAATTTGCAATTCAAGGTTATGTTTTGTCTAGATTCAGTACAGCTTCCTAATCTCAGAGAGAGAGAGAGAGATGCAAGTTCATTGTATTGTGGATAGTGTGCTAAGTTTACAAAACTTCCTAATCTCTGTGAGAAAGAAAGAGTAATGCAAGTTCATAGTAGTCTGGATTGTGGTTGTGGATGTTGTCATAAATTTACATACAGTTAAAAAACTGAGGAATTAAACTGGTCCGTGAATGTTTTCAAAAACTGAGGAATCTAACTCAGCCTAATCAGATTTTTTTTCTTTTCTAGTAGTGAAGCCCAAAGATAGCAACAACCAGCACAAGTTTTCCTAAAGAATCATTCCAATAATGGTAGCCTTCCTCACACTAGCACCTTCTACATGCACAAAATTATAGCTCCAATGTGTTGTTTATCTGCTTTAATAAATGTAAACATCTAAAACTTGACTCCGCATTTTGTACATTATTTAACGATTATGTCATCTACAATGTCTGACTATGAAATTTTAGTCCTTATATTCAATAAAGTAAAATAAAAATATTTACTTCAGTATTTCATTAACACTTCAAAGAGATAACAAGTTCAAAGGTCATTACAATCACCAATCATAACTGTTCAGTTAGAAACTAAATTACTCAAAACACTTTAAAATGATAAATTTTTACGTGAACAACTTAAAACTAAGATTTTCTTGCCAAATAGAGTACAAGTTTCTCGGGTATCACTATCCCTGTGATTATCCAGCTTCATCATTTGGATAATCAGCTTGTAGTCACCACATTCCGACACTGCTTTCATCTTAATCCAGACACAATCCATTCATCATCCATATCTTCACTAGTTCCATAGTAATCAATCCAAATCTCGAAAAGGCCTAAGCTTTCGCACATTCAAATTATTCAGCAGGTCATGAATAGCTACTGAATTCATCAATAAAATTCAACATGCAAACATATAAATTGATTTAACCTATAATATTTTAAATGAAACATGTCATGATTTGTAGCAACATGAAAATAAAAATTACAAATAAAATAGTTCATACTCTAGGTAGCTGCAGAGGAGCTTTAACCATGGTTCATCCTTCAAATAATCCCCCAACACTAAGACTACACCAACTACTATACCATCAAAAGATGTAAATTATTGATTTCACCTGTGGTTTGGAACTATTACTGTTCATTGTGTCAAACTGGACAAACGACAATCAACAGGCTTGTTAAACATGTAAGCTAACTATACTGTCAAGCTGTCATAGATGGCCATATATTCAATGAAAAAACAAATCAAAAAAAAAAACATATGTTTACATATACTTGTACAGATATATCAGCCATGTAAGCTAACTGTACTGTCAAGCTGCCATAGATGGCCATATATTCAATGAAAAAAAAAAAAAAAACACATGTTTACATATACTTGTACAAATATATTAGCAGGAAAATTGGAAAAATCATGGATCAATCAATCAAAACAACGAGATAAAGAAGAAATTGAAAAATTAAATCAACAACACAGATTAAAGAACGATCGAAATCAACACAGAAATTCAGCAACTAGGCATGAAACAAACACGCTAGATTATCGAGAGAGACAGAGAGTTGGATTTATACATAGAAAGAAGCTTACCGATTATGAATCTCGATTATGAATCGATTGAAATCTTCATCAACAGTCGATCGAAATCTTCATCACGTGAGAGTGAGATTCAAGCGAGATTCAAATCTTCATCACGTTTGATCGAAATCTTCATCAAGTGAGAGTGAGATTTAAGCGAGATTCAAATCTTCATCACGTGAGAGTGAGATTCAATCGAGATTCAAATTCAGTCGACATCACGTGAGAGTGAGATTCAATCGAGATTCAAATTCAGTCGAGCGAGAGAGATTTGAACAGTGAGATTCAAGCGAGAGAGAGATTTTGAGAGGGAGAGATTAGGCAACAACAAGAAATGAGCTACACCACCGTTGGAGACAAATTTGGGAAATAAGAGTGAAAGGGAGAGATAGGTCTAGATGAATTTTTTTTTTATTATTTTTTAAAGTTAAGAACACGATTGATTTAAATGATTTTGTGATTTTTTTAATGTAAAAAGTAATTTTTTGCAACGGTTAAATAATCAGTCGCAAAAAAATAAATCATTAAATATATATATATATCATCAAATATTTTTTAAAAAAAATTCATCATTTGATTAGTTTGTAGTGTTTTATTGTATTTGTAATCCAAGGATAGACAATCTTTCATGATATTTTTTTCATTATCCTAGCAGTAATCTTACAGAAACAATAAATATTAGGGATCATGAAAAAATATCATGAAATCCTTCATAAAAATTTTCATCCTTTGATCAGTATGATGTTTTATTGTATTTGTGATCGAAGAGTGAGAATCTTTCAGGATATCTTCATGATATTTTTTCCATGATCCTAACATTACTCTTTCAAAAAGAATAATAGGATCATAAAAAAAAATATCATATTTGATTAATGTGTGGTGTTTTATTCTATTTGTAATTCAAGGACGAAAAATCTTTTATGATCATCTTCATGATATTTTTCTCATAATCCTAGCATTACTCTTACAAGAAAGAATAATACTAGGAATCATGAAAAAAATATCATGAAATGTTTCATAAAAAGTTTTCATCCTTTGATTAGTGTATGGTGTTTTATTGTACTTGTAATCAAAGGGTGAAAAATCTTTCATTATCATTTTCTATGATATTTTTTTCATAATTCCTAACATTCCCCTCTTACAGAAAACTTTGATACATTAAACTCATAAATTTTTACATCAAATTGATATTTATTTTTTTATCCTAACCAATTGGTTATTTTCCAAATAAATAATGCAAAAATTATTCCTCCATCATAATTGTTTAAAATAGAGAAATTAACACCCAAAAAGATTAAGAAAAACAACAACCCATTCAACCTAGAAAACACATTTTATAGGAGAAGGGATGGCATCAGATAATAAGCAGAGTTTGTAGTCTACATAAAATTCAGAGTGTAGGATAAGATTAATTACATCACATGCCTTCCCATCCTACAACTGGTGATGAGCATGGTTTTGGTTTCATTTGGTTTAGGTGTAAACCAAAGACCAAACAACTATTTGAAACACGCTTACAGGTGTAGACTGTTAAACAACTTATGTTAACAATTGTTAATAGCATTTAAAAGAATACATCATTCATCAAAGTTCATAAAATAATTCAAACTTTTTATTTTTCATATTAGAGCATCTCTAACCCTGACTACCATTTTTATCTAATTTGATTACATATTGGAGTAAAAGATTTGATTTGACATGTAATATTCTTTCATCAAATTTTCATAAAAATCATTTAAAAAATTCCATCCTTACACAGATTTTCCTGTTCATCAAATTTGATAGATAAAATTCATCTTCAATGTTATATCTTTTTAAATTTTCATCAAATTTGGATTTAATAAAATCTCAATTCAATGAAAAACTCTCTTAATTTGATAAACAGTTGATGAAAAGATTAGAGATGATTTTTTAACACTATTTCATCAAAATTTAAAATTTTATGAAGAAAAAAAATAAGCATGGGAGATGCTTTAGAGCATTTCCAAAATGTGTTCCAACCATTTTGTCAAGTATGGGCAATTTTCACCAAATCAAAGATGAACCAAACTATTCACCAAATTCTCAACAATTATATTTTGACTAAAATTTGATGAAATTTTAAAAAGGGCAAAGATTGCAGATATTTTCTTTGATAAAAAAATGATTAAAACATGATTTTAGGATATATTTAGAAATTTTCAAGAAAAAAACAAATTGGAGTATTCCAAATCAAATCAAGCTTTTAACCAAATTTTGTTCCTACAAATTTGCTCTAAAAGGAGCTAAGAACACTACACTATTCTTGAGCCCACATGAAAACCAGAAGTAATTAAAAAACAAATAAAACAAGAAAATAAAAAGCACTCCAACATAAGACCACCCAATTACCCATTTGAACACAAACTTCAAACACCAAAATATAGCATCAACCAAAAATATAAAGATTTAATAACAGAAATACCATAAACAAAAATCAAAATCAGAAAAATAAAATTTAAGTAAACAATTACTATATATATATATATATTGAATTCAAGTAGTGGCATCAGACAATAAGCGGAGTTGTAATCAACACGATTAATCAGTGTGTAGGATAAGACAACAATCATCAATTGCCATTTTTTTCAAACAAATTATGACTATATGATTCTACTGAGTAAATAAATGCTTAGAAAACAAGCAAATACACAAACAATCATTTAAAAAAAGAAGAAGAAGGGAGATTTGAATATCGGTAGGTCCATTTGACGCCAAGGCAATAAAAGAAAGATATGCAATGGGCTGGTAAGCCAACCTTCTCACTTTCTGCATCTGTTTATATCTCCTTGTGCATTCTAAATTGCAACACAAGGAGAGAGTAAACAAATGCAAACAATCAAAAATATATTGTACATTTAAAAGCTAATTGTGAGTATCATAATCTAATCGAATCGTCAAAAAGGAACAGATTATGAATATAATCGAACATATTAAGCAGTAGGCGAATATAAAAACTGAAATCAAGAGATCTACAAACCTATGAATCGAGAAGGTGAAAGGAAATCATCGCTTTCAAGAAGATCGAGATTGGCAAAGCATTGCACAGCAAACAACGTTTAAATAAAGGGTTTTGGCGATTAGGGTTTCTCATCCTGATAAAGGCTGATGGAGTTCGGCCCACAGGCCCACATTTTTAGACTTTTTAAGTTCAGCCCATGGATAGGTCTCGCCTTCTTATAGATATCTGTGGAATTTGGGCGGGCTCAACTATTTAATTTGAAAATTTTTGGGGCTTGAATAATATAATTTGAAATTGGATTCAGGCCTGGATGGAGAAAATTAGCAATACATTCTCTATATAGTTTGGGAAATAGAAAATGTCCAAGATAATTGGATATAGTATCACTCTTGTGCGACCTGTATGACTCCATTTAAATTCTATTTTGACAATTTGAATCGTTAAATTTTAAAAAATATCGACAACAATATATCTGTAAAAAATAAAATTAATTGAATCTCAATAACCGATTCATCAAATCACATCTTTATATATAAAATGAATATGTATGTATCAAACAGAATACAAATGTTATTTGATAAAAATATTATTGATATCCGATCAATTTGATTTTTTATAACAATATTGTTTTCGATATTTTCTAAATTTAAAAAGTTCAGATCATTAAAATAGGACCTGAAATGAGTCCCACGGACTGCACAACAATGACATCGGATCCAAGATAATTTTTCTTCCTAGTTAAAATCCCTCAGTATTATTATTTTAGTAGCTTAGGTTTCTTTATCTCACCTTTTACATTGTTTAAGTAATTTCAAAATATTAAAATTTAGTAATTTTTTTTTATTACATCTCCATTTTTTGTAAAATTTATATTTAAAAAATTTTATTGACAAAATCTTTCAAACCAGATCTATAAAAATTTCACTAACCTATCTTAGGTCAATGAAATTTTGTCAACTTAAAAAAACATAAAAAAAAAAAAAAAAATTTATTCATCATGGATATTGTTTTATAGATCTTGATGAAAATATTTCAAAAATATAAATTTTATAAATAATAGAAATCTAGATCAAAAGTTATAGAATTTTGAAATTTTTTAGTCAAAAAAAGTTACAGAATTTTGTCACCATGTGTTTTAGAGGACCTAAATAATATTTTAAAAAAATAATAATTGGGTTGTCCTTCTAAAAAATTATTACTAGGGATCTTAAACCAAAAACCTTTAAAATGAAAAAATTAGCAAACATCTTCCATAGAATTTGGATAGTACGAGACATTCAAGATAATTTCATTTTCTAGTAAAGATCCCTTTCTAATCTCAAGTTATTTTTAGTTGATGTAATTGATGATTTTCACATTAATTTCACAACTCACATGCGGTAGGATTTTTTTTTTTTTTTTTGGTACGAAATTAAATTTCACCATTTAATCAGTATAGGATTGTTTTTGTGGTTTAAAAAAAATATGAATATCTTTAGGCACGAATAATTCACTAGTGTATATATATATTCGCTTATCGCATTCCATGATACATTGATATTCTTCGCCACTTTATGTGTGGTGATTTTTTATTTTAATTTTTTTTATCAACAAAAATTAATAATTAATTATTAAATTAACACCTTCACTTCACGCACACCCTTTGTAAAGACGTATTAAAAATTGAACCAAAATCTCCCCTTGAAAAAATACTGGTAAACCCCCTTGAATTTTGCGTGTGGTTATTATTCGTTAGTGTTCTGTTGTTTTTGTGACTTGGGCTGTTTGATAGTGCTGCTCTGCTACCTTGCTTGGCTGGTTGTTTTATTGTTGTGTTAGTGTCGGTGGTTTGGATTTGTTGGGTTTGGGTGTTTTTTATTCTTTTGCTTCTGCTTGAGGTTTTAAGTTGGCACCTTGCTTAATATTTTTTTTGGGGCAGATTTCTTTGCTTATTTTAGTTTTTGCTCATGATTTACTTATTTTATAGGGATTTTTATTATCTCTTTAATTTTGTTTATCTAATTTTACCTTCAATGATATGGCACACTCTTATACGAAGCTGTTCCACACCCCTCCCCCTCTCATCTTTAACTTCCCTAGTGCCACATCATTAAAGGTGAAATTAAAAGAATAAAATTAGGAGATAAAAAAGAGCCCTATTTTATAAAATGGTGTTATATCTCTTTAATTTTGTTTATCTAATTTTACCTTCAATGATATGGCACACTCTTATACGAAGCTGTTCCACACCCCTCCCCCTCTCATCTTTAACTTCCCTAGTGCCACATCATTAAAGGTGAAATTAAAAGAATAAAATTAGGAGATAAATTATTATTTTGTATGTGCCAAACTAATTGAGGTTAATAGACAATGATGTATTTTTTCACCTTAACTTTTTCATGTGTGAGTATTGATTTCCAGCAATACAACCAAACAAAGTACTTAGCTAGAGAGCACACGACAGAATAGATTAAGCCAACCACCTGCCAATAAGAAAATGAGAATACTGCAGTGGTTCGTCTACCCGGGAGGACTCCAACGATCAAGTCAGTTGAATAATCTCTCAAAAATCTCACACAAATACTCAATGCACAAGTTAAAACGTACCTTAGATGTAACAACCCCAATCCACAATTAACTACTAATCCGTAATTAAGAATGCTAACTAAGTGTTTAGAATGGAATTATGTGCTAATTGTGTATTTTGTATGTTATTTGGCTTTCTATCTGTTACTTGTAGAAATATCTGTCTGGAATTCTGCTTTGATCTGAAAATTAAAAGCCTTTTTGGCCTCCGAAATTGAAATTGGTTACGTCAATATGTTATTCAGAATTTTTAGAATCATATGGCATATTTTATTAAAAATTGATTCAGTTCAGTAAAATCGCATGTGATTAAATTGAGGCTTAATTGGAATTATTTCTTTGATTAATTGAATTTTGTGCTAACATTGATTAATTAAGGCTACTTGTGTTTGATTAAAATGATGCATGATTGGTTACCTAATCTAATCCTATTCATGATCCAAGATGTGATTAAGTGTAGTATGAGTTGGGGATTTTGTGATATTGAATGTGGGGGATTACAACTCTTGTGGGTGTGTTAGAATAATGCATGTGTGTGCACGTGTTCACAAGTTATATAATATTTTATCATTTATTCTTAAAAGTGACCGGACATCTTGCCGATCATGTAACCTGACATCCTACCAAACGACTGATGTAACAAGCCCGCGGGAGGGACCTCGCTGCTACAGTTCGGACTCGATTTGTGTCACGGTTCTTAATCTGAACCAAAGAGTCCAAATCTGGCAAATCGTTTTGAGAAACAGATTTTTGAAAAAAGTAGTGCCAAACCTGGACTGCTTTGCCAGATACAGAGTCGCCACCTAAATATTTTAAAATGGGAGAATTTAGGAAACCCTGACTCGGTGCCGAAGGCCACATGTCCGTCATCACCGGAGTTGTCTCGGCTCGGGAGCTTGGGTACGATCGGGGAAGGTCAGCTATGAGCACCCCCTTTCGCCCGGTCCGAAGACCGGCCTCTACTAACCGTGATATCCAATTTTGAAAACGATATAAAAAAATGCAAGTTGAAATATAAAAGTAACTTTTTTATTATAATTTGACTCAAAATTTACTGATATACCACCAAAGGGCCATCCTAGTTGGTAAGGGAGTATACTCATCTCCTTACTGACCAGGGTTCGAATCCCCTATTACTCAAGTGGAAGTCCGACGATTTAGGTGGATCGGCTAGCTTCCCCCAGTTTGGCTTCACTACAACAAACTGCACATTTGGCGACTAAAATTGGCGACCAAAGCAATTTTAGTCGCCAAAAACAATATATTGGGCGACCAAAATCAAATTTTTAGTCGGCATTCATTTAATCTTTTTAGCTACTAAATTCTTTTAGTCGCCATATAGTCTTATTGGCGACCAAAGTTGTTTTTGGTCGCTGTTTGCAACCATTTTACGCTACTAAAATTTCATTTAGTCACCGTATAATAATATTTTGTGACAAAAAAATTTTGTCACCAAAAATTGGGAGTATTTTGATGAATTTTTGGTGACCACAACTAAATTAGTCGTTGTATATTAAACATTGCCGACGAAAATTTCAATTTAGTAGCCAAAATATGGTTCTTTTGGCGACCAATTTTTAGTCACCGTTAATGATATTTGGCGACAAAGAATGATTTGGTCGCTAAAGCTTCGAAATTTTTTTAGAGGGAAACTCATTAATATTGGCGCCTATATTTAACAAATAATTATTTTACTTCTGTTTCACACACACCAACATACAGAGCACTCGATGCCAAACCTCAGCACCCCTGACCACCGCCGATCATCACCATCGCTGGCCACCGGCACTCGCCACCACGACCACGACAAATTGGCCCCACCACTGATTACAGGTATTTCTCTCTCATCTCTCTCCCTCTTTGTCGATCTGTGTCTGTCTGTTTGTATCTCTTTCTCGCTGTCTCTCCCATTCCCGTGTCTCACGATTTCTGTAGGGTTTTTGAATGTTTGTTTTCTTTCATTTTTTGTCGATTTCGTAATCAATTTTTTAGGGCTTTTTCTGATTTCGTGAATGGGTGGTTGAAATTTCGGATTGTGGATTTCTGATTCTCGATTTTGGATTGTTGAGCTATATGACCAAATATGCCTCTGTTTCAGGAATATTCCAAACTAACCCTATATATATATATATATGCATTGTTGGGAAATTGAATGCTGTGATGATTCTTGATTTTGGATTTCTGATTCTCGATTTCTGATTTTTTTTTTTTTTTGGGAATTGAATGCTGTGATGATCAGTGTTGTGTTTACTGTTTCCTTATACTTTGTAATATGTTTGTTTGATGGGAAATTGAGTTCCAGATTGATAGTCCGATTCTGATATAGTTCATATATTGATTCCTAGTGACTGTGGACTAACATGTAAAAGGATTTAAAAGACCCCATCTATGTTTTACACCATGTAGTAAATGTCTAGTAATTTCAAACAAACATGTGATAGAATAATATAGGATTGTACTATCCCCTCCTAATCCAAAAGCATTTCAAACATGGGATATGATACAAAATCCTAAAGAATTGGTATCTTCAATTCAAGCAATGTATATAGACCTCATCATGTAAATTCCACAATTATGTGAATGTTCTTAT